GGAAGGGTCTACAGGGTGTTCAGGGTCTCACTACTAGATGGGACTCCTAGTGATCTGCCTGTTTACAGTCTCCCAAGAGCTGGGATTACAGGCACACACCACCACGCCCTGTCTCAGTTGCCTTCTCAGGGCACCCAGAGGCAGGGCCGGCATGGCAGGCCCGGCATGGCAGGCCCCTGCACCTGCTTGTAGGTGCTTTAATCCGCTGAGCTATTTGGCTGCCCTCATAGTGACTTTAAAGCCAGGCTCAACTTCAGAAGGAGATTCTGTCCCCCCAAAAATACAAGAAATGTTAGGCTTGGTGGCTCACACTTATAATCCCACCTACTCATTTCTGGAGGCTGACACAGGAGGATTAAAAGGCCAGAGCCAGGGAGATAGCTCATACCAAATCTGGTATAAAAGAAACAAAAACTTTTTAAAGGCCAGCCTAGGCAATGTAGTGAGACTCCATGTCTAAACACAAAACTAAAGATAAAGGATACAGTAGGCAAAAATTCAATTGCTGCACATAAAGCTTGTTGGAAAGAATTAAATTAGCTTAAGGAATAGTATATTTAAGAAGTGCTTTTTTGTTCCTAAGTAGGGCTTCCAAGCCCAGGTGGAGGAGTATGATGTACCTCTTCCTGTAGGGAGTGTTATTTCATAAAGGTAGTGGAGTGGAAGCCAACTCTCCTGATGAAAGAGCGACTCTGTAATGCGGAAAATGGAGGTTCTGCTTCAGTGAGTTCGCTAATAAAAGGAATGCAAGTAAATGAGATTGTTACTAGAAGTTGCAGTATGCTGGTAAAAAGCGAGAGGTCCCTGAGTGAGAAGGTAAAGAAGCTGGAAAGGTGCAGTGCTCACCAACAGTACAAGAAGCAGCTGGCAGTTGCTTCAGGGAGGGGAGGAGAGGGGGAGAAGAGCGTCCAGGGTGCTGGGCTGAAGGCAGGCCCTGTGAGTAGCTCCACAGCTCGGGGAGCCCTGGCAGCACAGCCACTGCAGGGGTGGGGCCCGAAGAGTGCCAGAAAAGGCGGAAGGTGGCAGGCTACTTCTGAGGTCTCCCAGGAGCGCTGGCATGCTGTGACAGTATCTCCTCATGGCTCAGGGCTGCGGCTGGAACAGAAGGGGAGAAGTGGGATTGTAAGGTTACAGACTAGGCTAGAAGAGCTGCCCACTGCGAGTTACACAGTTAGGAAGGGATCTGTGGTGGCGATGAAGAGCTGAGCCTAGGAAGATTCCCGGATGTAATTTCAGATCTTCACAACCAGTGTTGGGAGCTCCTTAAAATTTATTTTCACCTCAGTCTTATTTCTGGCTCACCAGTTTTGTTGGAACAGATACAAGGCAGAGTTTTACCACCAAAAAAAAAAAAAAAAGAAATATAATAAAAGACAATCTTGCATCCATGAGACTATTAAGTGAAATTAATCAGGGTAGGTGAAAGACTTTCTTTCTCATCTATTTTGACCCCTGGTTTCTGCACAGTCTACAGCAGGAGCATCATTATTGGCTAATGCCTCACCTCTGACCCTCATGACATCACCCTTGTCTGTAACAAATCAAAATGTGACTCCTTTTGGGATGCTGGGTGGCCTTGTTCCAGTGACCATGCCCTTCCAGTTTCCCTTGGAGCTACTCGGCTTCGGGACGGACACAGCTGGAGTGACAACCACCTCGGGATCTACCTCAGCCGCCTTCCACCACAGCCTCACTCAGAGTAAGTCGGGCTCCTCACTCATGTGCTATTTAGTGGCAGAGCAGGGACCCAGGGTATAAAGAAGTCTTGTCTATGACCAAATCATGGGCCCTAGGACTGCATTTATACATTAAAGTGAACTAATGAGCTACCTATACCAACTTGCATCTTAATGAATTTACAAAAGTCAGATTGCTTGGGTTCTCTGTTCACACATACAGTAACCATGGTGGTAGGTAAAGGATCATTAATGCGCATGCTCAAGTTTTAGAAGGCCTTGGAAGTCATGCTTGTAGCATGTTAGGGTGGATCTACATGGGCTCACATCTTAGTTGAAAGATCACTGATGAATCTCTTTTTCCCTTCAGATTTACTAAAGGGTTTACAGCCAGGAGCTCAGCACACAGCAACACTTTCCCACTCACCTCTGCCTACACACTTACAGCAAACATTTAATGGTAAGAAGCTACCTCTTCCTTATCTCTTCATTGTTTATCTGGGTGTATGGATATAAATTACCCTTCTGAAAACAGTATGGGATGGCAGCAGTTGGAAACAGCAAATTTTTGCATGACTGACTCCTCATTGGCAACAAAGTCCTTGTAAGAGAAAGAACACTGGCCAGTGAAGTCTTCACTACATATGAAAGTGTTTTTGAAGGTGTGTACTATATAGAAGTGATGGCTAAGCAGAGCAATCATGAAAGTTACATAGAGCTGGGTATGGTAGAGTACACTTGTAAGTCCAGCAACTCTGGGAGGCTCAGGCAAGAGGGGCCCACCTTGAGCTGGGCAACTTAGACCCTGCCCCCATACCAAGTAAAGAAAAAAAGTAAAAAGCTGTGGATATACTGTGAAGGCCCTGGGTTCAATCTCTCGAACTGGGGAAAAAAATAAAAACTGTATGCAAGGATTATAATAATTTACATTTATTGAAAACATATGAAGTGCCTTTTGATCTTGTGCCAGCTTGTATGGTTGAGCTGATGTAATCCTTAGAATAAGCCCGAATGGTAGATAATGATGTCTGTCTCACAAATCAGAAAAATGAATCAGCAACATAAGCAGCTTGCCCAAAATGATACACTATTGTTTGCTCTCAAACTCCAGAAGCTTATATTCTTTTTTTCTTTCTTTTTTTTTTTTAAGTGCTAGGAACTGAGCCCAGGGCCTTGTACCCTCCAAGCACATGCGTACGTACACTGAAGTACACTATTAGTCATCCTGTTGGCTGCATGTGACCCACATTATGTATTGCGCACTTGCAGCCCAGCTTGCCCACTCTAGAATTGATGCTGGAGAGCGAGTGCCCTGCCCAGCAACCTCCAGGTTCCTAGGACCACAGTGTCTCTCCAGAGACTGACCCTGCACTCTTAGGAGGCCGTTTCCCTGTCCTTTGAGAAAATTTCTTGGCTGCCCTCGACTTTGGGAGTTTACTAGTGCCTCGTTATTCTTTTGGGCCACTGCATTACAAATGGTCTTTGATCCAGTTTACCACTGACCACCATGCAGTGGTGGAGCTTGTAGCAATTTTTTTAAATTTGGTGTGTTTTTTTTTTTTGTTTGTTTGTTTTTTTAATTGCAGTACCAGGGATCGAACTCAGGATCTTGCACTTGCCAAGCAAGCACTCACGCCACTGAGCTGTATTGCCAGCCCTTTGTTGCAGTCTTGAGGCCACCAATTCATCTTCCAAAATTCCTTTTGTCAACAGATGCAAGACCCGCTAGGAAACTCTTACACAGCATGACTCTAATAGTAGCAGCATACTGTCCATCTCAAGAAGCCAGGAGGAAGGATGTTGAGGGTTTTCACCACAAAGAATCGGTGAATGTCTGAGGGGATAAATATGCGTAAGCTGATTTGAGCATCGTGCGTTGTATACAGATATCAAATGTTACATATATCCCACTAATATCACAGCTTTTCTGTTATTATTAGCTAAAAATTAACAAATAGTTTAAGAAAGATAAAACTCCTGTGGTAAGCTCCCTCAGACTCATCCTTGACAGAATGAGTTTAAATCACAATTGAGCAAAATAGGCATATAAATAAAGCAGGCACAAACATCAGTAACCCTGATCTTCCTGAACTTGACTAGATTTAAAGTTAATGAGGGGGCTGGCATGGTGGTGCACACCTGCAATCTGTGCGTTGGGGAGGCTGACAGGAGGATTGCCTCCAGTTTGAGGCCAGTTTAGCTTACATAATGAGGTCAAGGCCAGCCCAAACTACATAGCAAGCCCTTGTCTCAGATTAAAAAAAGTAATAAGGCAAGTTACTGTGTAACAAAAGTGGCCTCCCTGAGTATGGACAGACAGCTGCTGCTGGTGTGAGTCCAGCTGGCCGGCTTGTGCTCATGGGCAGAGACCTGAAAGGACCCCTGCAAGGAACCAACTGAGCAGGGTATTTGTGGCTCCAAAGACCCAGGATTCCACCTCGTTGGCTGTTGTTCTGTTTTGTTCCTTGGTTTGTTAGTTTGTTGGGTTTTGAGAGAGGGACTTGCAGGCTGGCTTTGAGTTCACTGTGTATCCCAGACGAACTCCAGCAATCCTTCTGCTTTAGCCCCTGGAGTGCTGGGCTTACAGGTGCGTGCCCCCATGCCTGGCTCCTGCTCTTGGGTAAATTATCTTGCCCCCTACTCAGTACTACTGTGCCATGAGAAAAGAAAGGTGACTTCCAGGTTTTTTTTCCAAATTGAAGTTTAAAATATTTTGTTTAAAGGTATCTTATAATTTAAAACTTTGAACTTAAAGGTCAGGCTTGATGGGTTTTTTAGTTGCAGAATTGTCAATTTAAGCATGCTTCTTAACTTTTAGCATTTTTCTTCCCTGTAAAGAAGGTGTTTCTAATTGACTTCATATGGAAATCTAATAAAAATAACTGATCGAAAGCTTCTAGCAGGGCACTTAGTTCATAGCAAGAAACCAATTAATCTCACTTCTCAATCTTGTTTAAAACACAAGGCAGTAGTTTCTTCCTAGACACATTCAACTTTGATTACAGTATAAAAAAAAAAAACATAATATGCAAACAAATGAGGGTTGGGTTTTGTTTTTTTTTTTAATGTATTTTAGTACAGGATCTACAGGGTCTCACTACAGAGATCAGACTCGTAGTAATCCTCCTGTTTTCACCCTCCCAGTTAGTTGCAAGCATGCCTCACCAAGCCCAGTCTCAGTCTCCATCTCAGCACACCCCGGGGACGGGGCCAGGGTCCTGGCTGGGGCAGGCTCGGCATGCTGGGGATCGAGACCAGTCCCTGTGTCTAAACAGCCACTTTAGTCCGCTGAACTATTTGGCCAGCCCTAAACAAATGAGTCTGACTGAATTCTAATAAACTTTATTCATACAAATAAGTGATAAGCCAGACTTGGCCTTTGGGCCATAGTTTGCCAACCTGATCTAGAGAATTTTTTTTTATTTTTTATTTTATTTTATTTTATTTTATTTTATTTTATTTATTTATTGTGGAACCAAGGATTGAACTCAGGTCCTTGCACTTGCCAGGTAAGGGCTTATTCTACTGAGCAATCTCCCTGGCCTCTTAGAGAATTTTATAGTCCGGTTAATGTTAAGTGTTTTATATTGCTAATCCAAAACTTTTTTGAGCAAAATCCCATGTAAAGTGTCTTACAACCATAATTCCAGCAGTCAGGAGTCTGAGGCAGGAGGTTCAGGAGTTCAAGGCTACCTTGGGCTACACTGCAAGTTCAAGGCTGATCTGGACTACCTAGGGAGACCCTATCCATAAAACAAGACAAAAGGGACCTTAGCTATTTTATGCATTTGGTTGTACCACAGATCAAATCATTTTCTCAACAAATGTAAATACATATTATCTTATAAATTAAAAGGCCTTGGATGTCACCAAAGTGAAGTATTTTACCAAAGTTATTTTCATAGTGTACTATTTATGCAACTTTTGAAATAATCTTACTTCATTGATACAGCTTTTATTCAAGAAGGTAGTCTTTTTGTTTTGTTATGTTTTTCTAAAGAAATTTAGGTGAAAAAAAGAAAAAAGAAATTTAGATGGCCACAGGAGCGGGCCTGGCCATGTGACTTATGTGGCCTCGTCCAGCCTTAAGCTTCTTACTGTCCCATGATGCAGTAATTGTGTTCCTTTCGCCTGTGGCTCTCCACCATCAGGGCCTTTTCCCTTCAAACAGAGCCTTCTCTCTTTGGGGGCTTCATTGCTAACCCTAACCCTCCAGAGGTTATCCCTGTATTCTGTTGGCTCTCTAGGTCACTAGGTTCTACTCTTGCCTGCCTAAACATTCTCTTTTCCTCTCCTCTTACCATGTTTTTAGGGATTTAACTCAGGTTTAATGGTGAATCAACACTTTCCCCTTCAACAGTGAAACAACAGGTGCTGAAATGGAAACCATCATTCGTCTTGTTGTTTATCTTTTTAAGACAGTGTCTCACTGTAGTACTGGCTGGCCTTGGGCTCATTTTATAGCCCAGACTAGTCTAATTTGCCACATCCTCCCAAGTGCTGGGATTACAGATGTGCACCACCAAGACTGGCTGAAGGGCTGGGGAAATGGCTCAGTGGAATAAGCACTTCCCTGGCAAGCGCAGGGACCTGAGTTCAATCCCCGGTTCCGGAAAAAAAAACAAAACCAAAAAAAATTAATTAGGAGCTGGTGAGATGGCTCAGTGGTCTAAAGCACCTACTTAGAACAAGCTTAGCAAAGCACAGGGACCTCGGTTCAATCCCCCAGCACCACATGCCAGCCTGCCCCGCCCCCTGGTGGGCTGAGCTGGCCACACACACACACACACCCACACACACACACAAAATTAAATAAAATTACAAAAAAAAAAAAAGACTGGCTGAAACTATTATTCCTAGTAGCAAACTTCTATCCTTCACACTAGGTTCAGGACCAAAATAGAAATGTACATTCACCTGATACTTGGGCCTTATGGATAACTGCTACCTCACAGCCCCCCAAAATTAAATTCCACATAGAACAAAGTGAAACTGACCTTGTCTTCCAAAGGAATCAAAGGCTTGCTGGCTCCCTAACAGGTTCATTGTTGAGTTTGAGCTTTTATGTCTTATCAAGCTCTGTAATACTACACAGCATATGAAATGTTAAAAGTTATCTTTTTGGGACTGTCTTCCACATAAAAAAGTAAACATTAATTTTTTTTTCACTGTTAGTTTTTCTTATCTATTTTTCTAACATGTCAAACCATACCAATTTAACATCTCTTTTTCTCAGATGGAGGCCAAAGTAAAGGGGACACAAAGTTACCGCGGAAATCTCAGTGACTTCCCAGCAAGCAAAGAGATGAAATGTTTAGCTGGCTGATGGGATCTACCTGACTGGAAAGTCCTTACGTGGTCACAGGGCTGCTGTTTCTGTCGATGTTTACATTCTCGTCCCAAGCACTGTGGTGAGGAGGAAAAGGAAAGACATCATTACTTGAGCAAAGCCAGGTGCAGGAGGAAGAACCGCTTTTGTGCAAAGTTAGTGACCTTTGGTCTCTCCTAAAGAAAGACAAAGTTACTGTGTTAACTGACTCAAAAGAGATTCAGCTGTCAAACCCACAGAAGTACAAATTAGATTTTTCCCCGGGGGAGGAGGAGGAAGTGGAGAGGATTTGGGTAAATGCCATCCATCCTGGGGGTTGGATCTGAACACTTGTAGACATGACCACATAATAGAAGCAGAAGCTCTTGAATCAGGCCAGTTCATCAAGAGTAACGATCATGTCTGCTCAAGGGAAGAGCATAGCAGATTTGCCACAAACGGAATGAATAACCTTATGCCTGATAACAGATAGTAGCTGAAGAAATACTTAGCCTCAAACATCCTGAGCAAACTTGAATCTTTCCCAGTATGTAGCAACTCCCGTGCAAATCAGTGGACTAAAGATGCATCAGGAAATGTACTCGAGCACAGTGATATATATTACTAAGTCATCTAGATTTTTGGAAATCAAGAATTGAGCCTGTTACTCTTAACAGACAAAACGTAATGTCCCCTTTTTGTAAAAGGGTCAATTTCATCTTCCATTTAGAAGCAGGTACTTAACTCTTTTCTTCAGGTGATTTATGCATCTGGTATTGACTGGTTACTTTTTATTTCTAGTCTTGATGTTGAAATGTGACGTGTTCACATTTTTCACTTGAGAAATAGGAATCTTTGTTATCGGGCTGCTGTTTTCCTGCGCTTCACCCTGGCAGGTCTCCTAACAAGAACTGTGAACTCCCCCAGTTCACCTCTCTTTACAACTTCATGTTCTGTTCTTTTAGTACTAATACTTCAGGTGATTGTTAGCTATTAATTAATAGAAGCAAGTAGCAGTGTATACTACATATATTTTTTTCATTGTTCATCCAAATACATACATAGATATATAAATTTCTGGGTTTTGGTGGTATTTTTAAGGAAAAAAAATACATTAGGATCATTATATATACAAGAGTTGTCTTATAACAATCACAATCTAATTTACCTTCATATATCCGTGTAGTAAAATTGTTTGGAGCATTTGGGATCTTAAAGCTTTACCAATATTTACTCAGAGTGTTGATTATGTCCGTAAGCCTGCAGAGAATAAGTTCCTTGGTTATGTAGTTTCCTTATGCAAATAATAGTTAACAAAGGGAGTTAAGAGAAACATTTATATTTCCCTTTGGATGCATTTTATGTTTCCTCAGCATCATTCTGGTATCTCTTGAGTTCTAAACTTGTCAGTATTTTCACACTCAACCCAACAATTATGTGAGCCCTTAAATGTATAACTTTAGGGGCCGGGGAGATGGGGCTCAGTGGCATAAGCACTTCCCTGACAAGTGCAAGGGCCTGAGTTCAAGCCTCAGTTCCGCAAAAAAAAAAAAAAAAAAAGTATAACTTTAGTCCATTTCTATAAAACAGTAACACTCCCCCCAAAAAACAGCGCTAGACTAATAGTCTAGATTTCACTCATATTTTCATTATATATTACCCTCTGGCATTAAGTTTATTCAAATAAGAGTATTAACAAAAGTGTTTTTCTTTTATAAGCAGAAGTCCAAAATTGCCTGCAAGACTATAAATAACCACAGATCCACTCAGATCTGTATGTCTATATTTTGACAGATTGGCTTGCTTCAAGCAAAAAAAAAAAAAAAAAAGAAAGAAAAAGAAAAGGCAAGTGACTCAGTTCTTCAGTTTTAAAAACTTGTTACTATGAAAGAACATGATTACTTCAAAGGAATCATTGATGGATACTGGGTGTTGCAGAGGTTTGACTTGAATTCAGTATGTTTGATTAAAATTCCTTTTTTTTTTAATTAGGGAAGCATCCTCCGCTCTGATTTATTCCAGGGAGCAGACCTCTTGTGTTTGCCTTTGCTAACTAACCCTGTCTGGCTGGTGGTGGGAGCTTTCCTTTGGGAAAGTAGCCTTTGTTTACTACTTCTGCCAGGAGCGAGGTCAGAGTGCATATTAATCTCTCTTCCTGCTGGGTGTGCATGTATTCATCTGTGTTTGTATGTGTATGAGTATACACACATGTATATTCATATAAATTAATTAATGACTAGTATAAGTCAAAAAATACTATGTAATTTCTTAGACCTGTCCATTCTGAATCATGCTATATGAAGATCCCTGATGACTCTGAGGTTTTTTGTGTCATTGTTAGAAAAGAATATATTTAATAATCCTATCCTCCTGTGTCATTTCATACTAATCAGTCACAATATTTGGAGGCCTTTGGCTCTGCAAGTAGAACATGGAGATTTCCCTCCTGGAGGACTACAGCCAGAGGCCTGCCTCAGCACCCACCCACCTCCTCTTCACCGGTAGTTTATACCCATATCAGTCAAGACCCTCCTTTTGTGTTGTACAAACAGGAAATGGGTCAAAATCCTTGTCTTTCTCCATAGATAAAGTATAATCAGAGTTTCTACATGTAAATACAACTTATTTCTTTTCTAGATCATAACATTAAAAATGGTGTCCATACTTTATGGTCATCTGTCTTTACAGTTTTATTACTAAAAAACAAACATATAAATTGGTTATTTTTTAACACAGAGACTTGACTCATACTGTATTTTTGCACTTAAATTATGTTATTTTTAAAAATGGTCATTGGAAAGGATATCTATAGAGCAATGTGTATTCTAAAAAGCATTAGCAACATCCAAATGCAAAAGTAATCAGCACACTTAATTATATCCCACTCGGAGGGATTCTTGATTCAGGAAGATTAAGTTATTTGTTTCCAACTGTCTTATTTTGAAATTGCCTTCACTGATATATAAGCTGTTACTGTACATACAAGTTAATCCTCAGTATTCACAAGCAATAATGGTCAGCAGAGCTGTCCTCAGGGATGGCCACGCAGGACCTCAGTTGGAGACTGTTTGGGAGTCAAGTGTCAAGCTCATTCAGAGCCTCCAGATTAAATGCAAGCAATAATTTCCATTGTAAGTGAATTATAATCCTTTCTCATATGCTTCTGAGGTCAGGGGGTAGGAAATCATGATTTTAAAACAGCCTGAAGGAAAGGTTTTGGGAAAAGAAGTAAAGTTAGTCTATCGTCACAAAACTCTGATACAGTACTTTGAGGAACTCGAGAGGATTGCATCAGTACATTCTTTCATGCCCACCACCCCTTTGATGGATGGTGTCAGCCCAGATTCCTTTGTTTTGTGTCTTAGACACTGAATAGGGCTTATGGGATCACCAAGGTAAGGGGAAGGTCCATGTTTGGATACTGTGGGTTTGACACCTGTTTGGAAACAACTTACTGGAACTGATTCTTAACCCAGAATATTCTTTTTTTCCCAAAGCAGATCCAATTCGTTTACTACCTGGGAATGGAAAGGGCAGGCAGCTCTAGTCTCTCTCCTCTAGTTGCCCTCCCCCATACCCCTTTTCACCTTGACTTGTGTTCAAGACATTTTCTGAAATGAAAGTTCTGCTGTTACTTAAACTGCCATTGATTATGAGAACTCTTTGTCTTTGGGATCATCTCTAGAACTCCAGTTATCTATCATGTTTGCTGCTACACTTGAAAAATGAACTTGGCCCATATTGGTTGACTTTAATTTACAGTCCTTTATTTTTAGTTTTTGTCCTATAATTTGACCCATGTATAGAATTATGATACTTTTAATTTTAGGCATGTACCATAAAAGCACACTGGTCCCTGTATTGTGATGATTTTGATTTTAATTTGTTTGCTTTGTTTTTTGGTTTTTGTTTTATTTTCCAAAGTTGGAAATAGAAAAATGAAAAAATTCTGTAATCAGTCCAAACTTGAGAACTTTCCCTGTGTGTCAGCACCATAATTTCTGCTGATCTATGTTCTCAAAGGGGCACTTTGACTTCCTATTCTGCATGTACACTTTTCTTGTTTTGTTTTGAGGGGGGCTTTTGATTTTGTGAAAATGAAGCAGAAGCGCAGTGGTAGATAAAATGACTCATCACAAACATGTTATGCAATTTTATTTTATAAAATTTTAAGGGAAAAGTTTAACTCTTTGTAAATAATTTCTTAGCTCTGATAAATGCTTATATTACTCTAAAACATGCTCAATTCAGGCCTTTGTCTTTGTTAAGTGCCTTTTATTTCTTTCTCCCCCCGCCCTTTTGAAACTGTTCTCAGATACCCTAAGTACATATTGATAAGTCAGGGGCTTCAAAAGGAAGACCCTCAGGCTTGCCAATGTTGTGACATGCTATAATGCCCTCCCTTTCCTTTGTGTGTATATGGGTACACGTGAGGTACATACATACATACATACATACATACATACATACATACATATGAGACTAGTAGCTGCTATACCATTGCGTCCTTTCTGAGCACTGTCCTTTGATGTTTGAGAAACTTCTGCCTTGTTTATTCCATTGCTTTTAGTTGATTAAAATGGGAAGATGGGGAAATTATCACAAGATGCTCTCTTCCCCCTTTGAGTAATATCTATTTGTAGAAGTTAACAAATACGTATGTGTGTGTTATTAAAAGTAAAATAAATTTAGTGGATTTATTGATTATTCCTGAATACAACCCACTGCTCTATACCCTTCAAGCTTGACATAAGTAAGATAAAGCATTGGAATAACAAGTGTAGCCTGCAGGTCAAGTTGATAAGGCCAGGTACACTTTGGCAAGGAAAATTAAACACATGGAGGGCTAAAGTTAGAAGCATGGCATGGTAGCAGGAATGCATCTTGGAGGAAGTTAGCAACTTGTCAACATTTAAAAAGTGCCAGCCAGGTGTGGTGGTTCCTACCTGTAGCCCCAGCACTCCGGAGGCTGAGGCAGCACGACCACCACGAGTGCAAGGCTGGCCTGTTCCAGAGTGCGTCCCTGTCTTTAAAAAAGAAAGAACGAAGGAAAGAAGTAAAAAATACTGTATTTTCTTCTGGAAAATGATTTGAAGAAATCATATAGCTGCATATCTATTAAAAATATGAATAAGCTGAGATGGACCTCAGATGCTGAGGAAAACATCTTTTATTTGCAGATAATTACATCTGATGTTATGGTGGCTTAGAGTTCTCCCTTGAGCAAAATAACATAATTTTCAGTGTCTAAGATTCAACTGTTTCTTAATGAAAACAAATGGATATGACATGTTAAGGGAGACTATGTTAAACCAATCCTCAAAAATAGTACAACTTTATTTTTTTAAATATTACCCCTTTTCAAAAGAATTTCGATTTGGAATAGGAGACTGGTGGCTAAAAGTAGAAAACAGCTTCCTGGTAGCAAAATTACTATCAAGCAGTTGGAATAATTCCTAAGTTACTACATGTAAGGGGAGTATCATTTAACCTTTGTGCCTCGGATTACCCAAGAGACAGTTGGGTATAATAATGTTCACCTACCTCCCAGGAATATCAGAGACTTTACTATTTCAAAAATATTTTGAGTTTTTCTAACATGTCCTATATAATTAAAAATAGTATTATCATCTTCCTGCAGAGGCTGAAAAATGTTTTCCTTATGGGTATAAAAGAGCAACCTATGATTTTTAAGTTTAAAAAAATATCACTGGAATTCTAATTTAGATACATATTATTTAAACATGCTATATTTGTGGTGGGATAAAATGGTTAGTTCCAGATTAACAGAGGGGGTGGGAATGGAGAGACACTTAAGTTTCTTCATCATAAGAGGAATTTTTTAGCTTTTTATGGTGGTGTGGTTGTGTGATATTTGCCAAGATTGTGGACCTAAAGCTAGATGAAGTTTGGATGATTGCCTGTTGGAACTGATAAATGACCCTGCAAGTTTTATCTGCCCCCTTTCTATCTTAGTCTAATTCATTTGTTGGTGATAGGTAGCTAAACTTCAAACTCTGTGAAAAGGACTGGGCATCTCCTGTCGCGTAAATGAGACAGGGACCCTACTGTCCCAAGGGGTCCCAGCCCTGCCCTGAAGAGCTGAGCTGCGTATGGCCAGCCCAAGCGTGGCTCTGCAGCTGCTCCAGCCACTGGGAAGCGGGAAGACGAGCAGCTTCACTTCCTGGCTAGGGCAGGGAGATGGGCAGGCTGGCAGGGTAACAGTTGCCCCAGCACCCAGGAGGAAATGAAGACCATTTCACCCACTTGCCGTTCCTGTGTACTGAGTTGTTCTTTCCTGGGGTTTTCTTTTATTTCCTCTCTCTTTTTCTGTCTCCTTTTTCTCATTTAAAATAACAAGAAGAAATGGATGCTGCAACTCTAGCTAGAACTAATTACTGGGGGTGTTCAGGGTCAGGGAAGAAAAAGCCAGGAGCTGAGTAACTTGGCTGGAAGGAGCTAGGAGGAAGAAACCGCCAGCCTGCCCCAGAGTATCAGAGTGCTCCCAGAGCTGGGGAAAGCCCGCTTCCTCTCTAGTGAAGTGATTTTAAAATTACTTTCTGGGTTTTTGTGCTTTATTTCAAATAAGGCCTTAGTTAATAGCCTCTAAACACCAGCTATGCAGATAAAGTTTTCCACATTTCTGTCTTCTTCTGTTTCTCAAATAACAAATGTTAAGAATTCTACCCAAAGAAATAAAACCCTAGGATTTTGTTCAAAGTATGTTCCTCTAGAGAAAATTCACAGAATAAAATAGACTTATTTTGTGTGTTCATCTGCTTGAAATGTGAACTTTATATTCAAAAGCTAACTACATCCATCCTTTGAC